AGCCTACACCTATAAATACTAGGCAAAGATTTCATATTTTACAACACCAAAAAATATGAACACGTGAAAGAGAGAGAAGAAAGAAAGAGAGAGAGAGAGAAAGAGGAGAGAGTGTGTGAAAACAGAAATTTGTCATACATCAACTATCAATGTCGATCAATAAATCATTCACAGAGTAGAGGAAGGAATTTTGGAACGTGCATTCAAATATTTTTCGTGTACATTTCGATAACAGGTAAGATACATTTATGTGCAAAGTGTTTACGTTTCCTTATGCTCTTATATGCAATTAAATATACATGGAATGCTAGTGGACCTTCGGGTTCTAGAGAAAGAGATATGAAATTTCTACACGAAAATTAAGAGGACCTAAGATGGGTGTGTCGCTTGGTCACCGATATACTCCATAAGAGAAGAGCGTTATGAAGTGTATTATTTATTTGTTATATACCTGTGTATGGAAATTTGCACGTATCTTACTGGGTATTTTTAATACTCACTTTTACATTAATTTTTCAGATTAGTTCGGGTCGATTGGAACAGTGGAGAATTGGTGATGCGGACTGCCAAGTGGATAAAGAATAGAGAAAAAGAAATAAGTTTGCCATTTTAAATTTAGCAATTTGTTTATTTTAATTTAGAACGCATTATTTGAATTACTTAGGAGTTTATGTTTATGGTTAGATACGCTTTCAATAATTTTAATCTAAACGTTACAATTATTTGTTTATTGAAGAATTTTACATAGTTCCGCATTTTTTTTTTAATTAAAGAAAAACGAGTTTTCGTAACGTTCCCGTGTTTATGCTTAATGAAAAAATTGGGGCGTTACACTTATCCCTGGCTCAGCGAGACTATTCCTTGCCTCATTATCGTTGAGCTTGGCTCTAAGTTCTCGTCATTCCAAGGCAAGCCACTAAGACTCTGATAGTTCAACAGTTATATGCGGGACGTCTATTTCCCACTTCGCCAGATGCTTATCCCTAGCTCAGCGAGACTTCCTCGCTTCACTATCATTGAGCTTGGCTCTAAGTCCTTGTCATTCCGAGGCAAGCCACTAAGACTCCGATAGTTCGACAGTTATATGTGGGACATCTATTCCCCACTTCGCCAGCTGCTTATTCCTAGCTCAGCGAGACTATTCCTTACCTCACTATCGTTGAGCTTGGCTCTAAGTCATCGTCATTCCGAGGCAAGCCATTAAGACTTCGATAGTTCGACACTTCGCCAGATGTTTATCCCTAGCTTCACGAGATGTGTTCTCCTTGCTTCACTATCGTCAAGCAGAGTTCTAAGTTCTCTACATTCCGAGGCTGCTTATGGCTTCGATAGTTCGAGTTACTATCGGAACGTCTATCCCCTGCCTCACCAGATGTTGTTCTCAACTTTACAAAGCTTAGATGCACCTAATGCGAAGTCCCCTGTGGGTGATCGCCTCGGTCGTTGCGTTCTCTCAGCTTTACAAAGCTTTAGCCATCTTCCAATGTGTCATCCCCTGTGGGTTGGTGCACTGGTGGCAGATGAGCTCCTCATTCAGCTTTACAAAGTTTAGACGTACTTGACGCAGAGTCTCCTGTGGGTCATCGCCTCGGTGGCTACGTTCCCTCCTAAACTTCACAAAACTTTAGCTGTCTCCCAACACGTCCTTTGTGGGTCAGCACACCGATGGCAGATGAGCTCCTTCCTTAAGTAACATCGAAGCTTCAGCGCCTCAGTTGAAGATGTGTCCCGACCTTCAGCTTCACAAGCTTCAACAACTCTCACGCCAACTATATCCAGAGCATCGCCTCTGCTATTACAATCAGAGAGCATTGCCTCTGCATCCAACACATCGCCCTTGTCACCTATGCTACTTACATTCAGAGCATCGTCTCTGCATCAACTTTATCATAGTAGCTTACATTTCAAGTCCGACCCGCATATAAATAATACGACTCGGACTTGGGGGACTGCATATCATTGCTAGCATATGCATCACATTACTGTTTCCAAGTATGAATGCTATATCACTGCTAGCATGTCATACATTATTTTCATCACAGCCAGTACGTATGCCCTGTTATCATCATTTTCATTTTATTGTCAACATCATGTTACTTGCTTCACTATAGCACTACTGATACACTGAGCTGTGCGAGCACATGATTTACTATAATACATGACAGATCCTCTGCACATATCTTGGAGAAATATGATGTCACACCCTTATGGTTATGAGCATTTGAAGGGGCAAATGGACCCCAAATTTATTTGGTATATATGATGTGGATATATTGTATTGTATTACAGGATTGGTTTAGCCCATATTACAGAGGAGATGCCGCCGGAATTTCGAAAAAATATATGCAGTATATCTTTCGAGGCAATTCATGAGTCCTCAGTTATTTTGACTCGCACACATTTTCTGAGACAGTTCGTAAGTCCTCACTTATTGGAACGACTCATATTTCTCGAGGCAATTCGTAAGTCCTCGCCTATTCGAGATCAATGCATATTTTCGAGGCAGTTCGTAAGTCCTCGCTTATTGGAGTTACCCATCTTTCTGAGGCAATTTGTAAGATATCGCTTACTTGACAGTTTATATTTCAAGTCTGACCCAATTATAAATAATACAACTTGGACTTGGGGGACTACTGTTACGCCTATATATTACTACCACTTCATATTGGGTAATCTTATTGGACTCAGACGAGGCCCATCAGAATTGGGCCCCAAAAGTCGAGGCTCTGACGAGGCCAGTCGAGGCGCCATCGAGGCCCTAAGGAGTTCAGTCGAGACGCTCGACGAAGTGCCTATTATTATGTTCATATGATCACCTCTTTATTGGGCTTGGACTTCGACCCATCAGCCCGTTTGGCCTATTTCACTTCCATTTCTCTATATATATAGATTCACTCACACAACTAAGGTATGTTCTACACTCTCTGGCCAAACCCCCACATACTAGTACTCTATATATCTATCTCGGTTCGACCGTTGACTTGACCGTCAGAGTGTAAACGGTCGCCGGACCTTTTTCTCGTCCGGTCACCTTTGCCTCTTGACGAGGTGCTATTTGCGTAGGTTTCGAGGGGACGATGCTAGAGAACTTGTTGGAGCTATTTTTGAAGGTCAACAGTGATCAATGTCATTTCTTCTTTTTCTTATTTGAAATAATTAAGAGCAATTTAATAATAAAAAAAGTCCAAGAAACTATACTCGACAGCGATCTACCCCATCCTACATATAAAATCAGTAAACATATATCTATATATCTATATATATATATATTACGTCCTATACACACACACAGAAAGGGGACACTTTACAGCAAATAATAATAATAAAAAATTCGCACAAACATTGAAACATACAACAAACACAGATTTACAGAAGAGCATGGTTAGAGTTCAAATCTTGCTGTTACAAACTACTGAGGTGTAAGATGATTCGCGAAACCAAAATAAATTTGCAGAGAGAACAGTGGGTTAGGGCGAATCGCAAAAAAAGCGGGAGGGGGGCGGGGGTGACGAGTGGAAGGAAAGTGGTCCATGCCTTGGGGAAAATTAGCGGTAATTAGAATGGGGAAAATTGCATCTGGTGTTTCTAACATTTTCAAAAAGTTCAAATGGATCCTAATTTTTATTTTTCAGCACTATAATCCCTCCTAACCTCTGAATAAAAGTCGAGTGTCAAATTTTTGTTATCTCATATGTCTTTTATGCGCCCATCTTTATATCAGCAAACGTGGCCAAAGAGTAAGGACTGATTCCATCCTAAGGATTTGAAGGTTACTAAGTTTGCACTTTGTTAACAATTAGCGACCGTATTTTTCCACAAACTCATTTCAACCGTTCGTTCTTTCAATAAAATAAATCCAAAAAGGCTTTAAATTGTTTTTCAGCTCTCTCCACAATTCTGCAGTGTGGCTACTCGTAATTTTTTTTTTTTGCTTCAGATCAGTTAGCCCAGTTCCTTTGCTTATGATGTTTGCTTGAACTTAGAGCCCGAGTAAGAACTACTTAAATAAAGATAGGAGTCAAGCCGAGCCAAGTTAGAGCCCAGTTCCTTTGCTTATGATACACACAAATACATACACAAGGTTCTATTAAAAAGACAAATGTTAGAATTTTGTGTGATATACATGTGTGACAATTGAAAATTCTATACAACACGAGCAGTGTCATGAGTCAAACTTGCTATAAAGATTCAATTCCTCGTAAGCGCGCCAAAATAGATTCGTTCCTGGACCAGGCATGAATCAAATAACAAAGTTGAAGAATCTGAAGTAGTTTCTTTAGAAAAAACCAAATCCCTTTAGGCTTAAGAAGGCTGCAGTGAGAACGAGGACCTTCGAAATTCTTGGTTTGATTCCAAAGGGATTTTCTCTCCTTTAGAAACTCATGAATTGGCGGAACAATCGGACCATAATGCTTCATCCCTCATAAGAAATTGAGAGAAGTAACTGCGATAAGGAAAAGTAATAACCAGATTAAATCCGGCATCGAACAGGATACAATTTGTGGTTAAATGTTTACCTTTTCTAAGTGATAAAAATCACATCTTCTTCCGACTGGCCTCGGGATTTTAGGCACAGAGGATGAATCTACAGGCAGGGAAGATCAAGCCAGTAAAACACAGGAGACAGATAGTGATTCTATACTGAGAACACCAAGTGAGAGGCTTCCATTTGATTTCCACACTGGAACTCTTCATTCTCTTCCCATTCTGAGGCTCTTTCGACAGATCAAAGCTTGCCCCTTTCATCCTCAATTCCTGAACACACCGCGTCAAGGCCCGGCCATCAGCCCTCTCCCTCTGCAACTGCCTGTCCACTTTCCAGTACCTGCAAAGTTTCACCTGTACCAAGAACACAAGCACAAAAGAAGTACACACTGATAAAACAGATGGGATCCACCATTTTTTGCACACATTATTATGATGGTCCTCTAATGAAGATGTAAACAAGATTGTCAGGAAAATGCCATGGAAAAAGAAGAAAAAGCAACAGAGTTGGAAAATCTCTCTTCTGATAGAGTCCATTCTCTTTTCTTTCATGACTATTCTCCGGCCAAATAGGTCATCTTCTCTTTGCCAAAGCTTAAGAAGTAAGAAATGGCCAGGACTTTGAGAGATTTCTGTTAATGGGTGCTGTTGGATTGCAGAAATTGCGTTCATGGCACATATTAATTTCTGCTGATGCTCTTCGTCGACTGGGATTTCGACTATGTGGGCGTCTTTTATTTCTGCCATTGGTGCTGTTGGATTGCAGAATGCTTCCAAGAAAATAAAAACAGATTACAGATATAAACAACAAATCAAGTAAAAAACAGCAAGTATGATGTAGAGAATAATATGTGCAGCAAATAGAATTCTAAAGAGATTCAAATGGATTTTGTTGCTTGATTTGGTGAAGGAAATGAAGAGGTGTTTCGGATACTTAAATGGAGGAGAAACCCTGACTTTCAACGGTCATATTTCGCCTGTTGCTGGCAACGGGGGATTGGTAACGGTCAGATTTTGTTTTACGATTTTTAATGCAAAATAAGAGGAAGAGGAATGTGAAAAACCGTGTTCAAGTTTCGCCTTTCTACACAAACAAAAAGGACATTAGGGTAAAACCGTACAATCAATTATTTCTTTTGACAAAATCGTAAATCCCCTTAACTTGAAAGAGAAGATGCGAACTTTACTATTCATCTTGAAACAGAGCTTTCACACTAAATTGGTTCTTTATTGTAGTTAAACTTGTTCAATATTATTTCCATCGAAAAGAGGCTTTAATTATTTTTACTATTCATCCACAGAAATGAAATTAATGCGATTTCTTTATTATTTTTCATTGTTGATTTAAACAAGTAATTTACGTAAGCTCCATGTTCATTCCCTATTATGTGTTTCCATTATCTATTATGCCTACTACAATAGAATGTAAGAGGCAATATGCAAATTATTGTTCATTCAAGCCGTATTTTGAGTTTTTACGTCGAAAAAAAAATTTACGTTATACCACATAATATATTTTTTAAGAAAATGATGTAAATTATATTGAGAAAATTGTTGGGAAAAATAATAAATATTAATAAAATTATTAATTTTTTTAAAGAAAAAAGACGACTTATACGAATTTTTTAACACACACGTTTGACGTACATTTAACTATTTTCGATATTAATTTAGATCATTCGATATGTCTGTGTTATAGTTCTGGAAATGAATTTCGAGAAAATATAAGATTTATAGTAGATTTTTAATTAAAAAAAAAACTAAATAAGTCACCCATTGAAAAAAATTGACACAAAAAAGATATCAATCAACCCAATAGAAAAAAAAAAAAAAAAAATTAACACAGAGTATCATTAAAAA